CATTCGCTGAACGAATGCCATGCGGACAGGTAACATCAGTTCATACCGATGTAACACGCCCAACGCGCGCGTTGAAATCACCCAGCATATATAGTCGGTCGCTCCTCGGCACAAATCGTATCACGGAGGATAGTTCAGTGTAGAATTGATCACGCGTGTCATCAGGATAACACATGGTCTGATCGTAGGTGCTTATGAAAGTGGCAAACTTACATCTTCCGAGTCGTAGGCGAACAGTCATCAGTCGCGTGCTGATGCCTGTTGGTTCACCCACCAGGTTGCCATGGAGGCAATTGGCTATTGCAAATCCGAACCCATGTTCACTTGGAGTTGAGGCGGCGTTGCCCACCCAGTGCAGCCAGCAGCTGCCTCATTCAATTTACCTTGCTCAGCGAGCCGGGTTTCACTGAGCGCCGCAATATCAATGTGGTAACGCGCCAGCTCCATCGCGAGAAGTGCAGTTCGTCGCTCCGGGCGCTCACTGGAGTTCCGGTTCAGTAGTGTGCGCACGTTCCAACATTCGATGCTGAGTGCTTTGCGCGCACGCATACGACTGCATTGATGGGAAATCGCACGCGAGGTGGTCGTTGTGCTTCGGAAGTTTGCTTGTGGGACTCAGCCCGGAGCCTTTGGCTCAATTACCTGATCCACAAAGTAGTGGGGAGCAGATCCAGCGCAGGAATGTGATTGCAAAGACAGATTGGGATGTGCTTGACGGCCGTCACACGCAGCATTTGAAGAAATTGAACGGTTCATGTATGTTTTGCGACCGTAGTAGGGTACGCATCGGCGACCACGGCCAGACGCAAGTGGGTTGTGGCGGGTTTGCACCAATTTGACCAGGTGCTGCCTGGCTTGAGGCGGGCAGTAGCAAACCATTGAACATTCGGAGGTGCCCTGCCACCGTCAAAGAAAATGCGTGGCGCTCGTACTCTACGGCCATCGAGCTGTGAGCTTTTAACCCGTAGACCAGTTGTCTCCCGTGGCTAGGTTTTACGGGAAGAGGGCCATCGACCAGTTCCTAACCTCCGAAGAGGATGGACTAGGATGCTGCCAGGGCGCTCACACCTGACAGGCGAACGACTCGCGTCCTCAGCTAAAGCCTTTGATTAAATGAACACCCGAAAGGCAGCGGGTCTAGCACATGGTCAGTTCACTGACCCATGCGAATTGGTATCCATGGAGAAGGACGTAACCCAACTCCCACCCAGTTGTCGCCATGAGTAGGCGTGCAGGACAACAGCCAACGGCAAAGCAATAGCAGCAGTGGGTAAACCATCTGTCAGGATCTAGCCACCACCTGCTTCACCGCACCATAGGCTCTCCCGCCATCAGAATACTAACGCTATAAATACATACTAGACGTAAAAACAATTGAGGCTCTACATAACATTTTTATCTCCCTACGCAATATAAAACAGGTAATTAACTCTATTCAACCGTCCTCCATTCTGGAAGATGATAGCGTCCCCCATCCGCCATAATAATGCAAGTCTTATATGACACTGCTACTTTAGAGTATGTTTACCATTTCATTAAGATCGAGCAGCTCTCCAGATCAATGGAGTACTTCGTTTGTCATCCATCGCTACAAAGGCGGTACAAAACAGAAGACTGGCAAGTACCGATCAGTCGATCACACCCCTAGAATGGCCAGATTATTCGATATCTGGTTATAATGTATGCGATTAATTTCGTCGACTCAATGGAGTTGAGCGACAAGTCACAAAATATTTTCCTTGACAAGCGGTGGTGCACAACCTTCTAGCTGCATTATTTGAACTACATATCCGACTCTATTGTCCTATGATATGTAATCTTACTTCTATTCTTAATGTGCAAAAGGCATTTGATCAAGTGCCTCACAAATGGTTACTGAATAGCTTACTTCGGAGTCCAGGAACCGCTAGTCGGTTGGCCATCTTCATACCTGTAGGGTCGCTCCCAAATTGTCACTCCGGGCGATCATCGCTCTTCTCCACATCCAATTACCAGCTGGGTTATAAAAGGAGGTGTGTCCAGTCCATTACATTTCCTTATTTAGATCAAGGACCCGTTTGTTTATAAGACATGGGGTGCCGCTTTTATTTGCCAATGGTTTAAAAATTGTCTACAAGTACTCACTATTTGAGCTCCATTATGTATTACTCATTCAATGAGACTTTCACTCTCTTGGGCCCTGGTGCAATAAATGGATGATGAAGTTCGCAGCATAAAAGTCCAGTTTTCATGTGTCGTAGTTGTTTAATTTCTGTGTGTAACGGTCTACGTTTGACTCCCCAATCAGACACCCTTTTATCTCCAACTTTTCTGTAGAGATTGAGTACCAGATAACAATCCGTGGCTAATATATCTCATAAGATGCATACAATCACAGCCAGAGTTGAATTATTTAAATGATTAACTCTTCCTATCCTGGAATATTGCAGCATAATCTGTGGCAATACAAGAAAATCAGATAGGACATCAATGGGAAGCCTTCAACGGTAATTTATTAAACGGCTATTGGGAAATAATTTTAGCATTAACCACCGGGAGCGATGCCAGCAACCCCATATCTGTCCGCTTTGGCTGCGGATATATGAAAAAATAACTTGATACTGCTGTACAATGTGATTCATGGCAATAACTAATAAAATCTATCCACTTTATATTGCAGCACAACTCCACACGGGATCTACTTAACAAAGACTTTACCCGAATTATATTACGATACAGGACAAATATGTGGTCTAACTTCTTTTACACCAGAAGCGCTTCACTCTGAAATCGGCTGCCATTTACAATCAGGTCGTTTGAGGCTTTGTAGTCCTTTCGCCGTAAATTGGGAAGCTAACTCGACTACCATTATCTCGCTTTTTCGTGGGGAAGATCAAATGACAATCTATTCAATGAAGACCCAAATAACGTTTATGGGTGTAATACCACCACTTTACTCAATCTTATTAGCCCTCAGTTTCCACAACACGCAGACTGCAAGGGTGCCTCCTACCATTGTGTACGACGCAAACACATGGGGCAAATACCTTGCCAGAAATCCAGACAGGTATAAGAACACAACTTCATATTGTTCATGCAAGAGCATGATTTCACTTGTACACACATGACCTGTGCCAAGTACGGGTCACAGATTCTCACCTGAATAGAAACATACGCCTTATCATATATTGGCATTATAATACCAGTACCGCTTTTTCAGACATTTGCAAATAAGTGAACAAGGAGCTTCAGCATTTGAACTTCAGATATACTGATAGTGGGATCGTGCGATGAGAGTGAAACATTGTTTCAAACAGCAACAAGGCAGAAAAAGCAGGTGAAACAAGCGACATCGGGAAAATTAACTGGCATGACGGGAATGTATTTCAAATCTAGTGTTATCTCCTGAGATTGCCGGAAAGCGAGACACGTAGTATTTCGCGAACTAATATCAGACAACGATCGCCCGAGAGAATTGCTAGCGATGCGTCGTTAAAATTATGGCATGGGGTTATGAAATTTCAAATGAGCATACAGCTGCTGGAATTATGATTGCCAGAAATGCAGTGAAATTTACCAATTACTTAGGTTTGACGCAACTAGTTGAGAGAGAGAGAGAAGAGTCAATATACTCCGACGAAGGTAACAAAATCGAATTGATAAATTGTCAGAGTTTGCTACTAAGTGAAAATTCACCGAGGGGAAATAGTATGAGCAATAGGGCGATCTAGGGTAAAAGGTTTCGCATCCCAACGGCAGAAAGGCAACTCACAGGCCCAGTGGACGGCCGTTTGCTGAGAGGAAAATAGCGCTAAAAAAGAAGTTAAACCTCTAAATTTTTCAATATAATAAAGAAAATGTCGACTAAAACTGGCTCAGTCGAAAGTCATGATTCACCCGATAGCTGGAAAACTAACAGATAAGAGGTCATTCGAATGAGTCACCTAATTCGACAGCACAAAGATCTAAAGCATCATAAGGAGAAAAGTGCAGGCGCAGATTTGAAGACTGAGCGGAAAAGGTGGCTAAGAAATCCTGCAAAAGTTAAACATGTGCTCCAGTTACTATTGCGGAACAGTGAGGAAGGGACTAAAGTGGAAGAATAAAATAAGAAATAGTGAGAAAATCTTTACATCGATCTGACTCATCCGCGGTAGTTCAACCAAAAGTAGTTCTGTACAATGGACAACAAACCTACAACTATCTAACTATGCAACGGACACCGAGTTAATAAATTCGGGTCGCGATTTACAGTTGATAACTTCATCACAGCGTCCTTGGACAAATGGGTTAGTTATCAAAACGCATTTATTGATCACTAATGATGAGTGATCATCACGAGGAAAAGTGAAATATTCAAAGAAGGAGCAATAAAGGCTCCAAGCTAGTGGTAACGAGTAGCAAAAATATTGCTGTGGGCTAGTTTCTGATCAAGTCGGCAGGAAAGAGGTGGAGTGGTGTCATCGAATACGATGACAAAACATGTGCAATGACTCATTGGATCTACGCATGCCTGTTTTCGCAAACACCAAGCAAATTGTGCACCGATACGCGGTGATTCGGATGACGGCTTAAAGTTTGATAACTCTCATCACGATGATCCATGCTGACGATGGATTAAAACAAAACAGACAATACCACTCGAGGCGGCTACTGTAAAACACGCCGATTTTAATGCATAGTCTGTATGTCGTACGCCATCAAGAAACCCGCAGGATCGCGTCGCGTCAGAAATGAAAGATTCAACGGCGCGAAATGCGTGGACACGGCCGGAGAGCGGCACCGTGAAGTCGAACGAAGGGAAAAGGTCGAGTAGAAGAATAACATAATTCTGAGGTTGTGTGTGCGACATAAATATATGCAAATATCACATAGACCAGTGATCACAGTATCAGCTGAGTGGTGTCGTGGCTGTAAACGTTGCAAGCGAACTGATATCGACGAGTTGTACAGATGGCCTCTATATCGGCATTTTCGACGTTGACAGACAAGCACAAAGGCGGTCCAGTCGAGGTTTCAGCTCAACTACATCGACCAACATCCACCAAAATATATGTATAATAGAAAGTGTGTTTGACATCCACGATAGAATAGTTGAGAGAGTTCAATCCGTCGGTACTTATACGGGCCTTCGCCGATTTTAGCAGTGTCCAGTGATCATATACGTAGTCCTTTGGCTCTGGATCGTGGGGTACCGCATGGTATCGGGCTACCGATATCGGCACATGTATATAGTCTAATCCCCTGGCATGTATGCGTGTTGCCATGTCGTCATCCTCCTGTCCCCAACCCCAGTACCGGTTGGAAAAGCCATTCACTCTGATGAAGTTAAGCGTTGAAAATTTTAATACGCCACCGACCAGAGATGGGTACAGTAGCTTGAACGAACGGTTGTCGATTCCCACTCCAAGATGTACGACGATATTCTCGGTTAGACTATCACAGCCGTATGGATTCAGATCATTGATGGGGGCCAAGTCCACGTCATGGAAGATAACGCAACGAAATCGGAAGTGCTTTGCTGCCTCAACGAAGCCAACGTTCAAAATCGCACCTTTGTTGAAAACAGAGGGATTTAGCTGTTCAACCACAAAAATCCGAAAGCAAAAACGTTGTTTTTGCAAAAGTGGAATGAGATAGTGTAGCATGACATTCAACTGTTTCCAACGGTTTTTACAAGCGATAACAATAGCGACTCCAGCATCGTAAGTCCGTTCGCAGTGACGGCTGGAATTAGGAGCGCGTGAGCGATATGCCCAAGCACCACCCTGCAAAGTTGGACTGATGTGTCTGATGAGAGTTGATTCTCTTGACTCTAACTCAACGCGTACGCCCACATCACCTACCTGGACCAATTTCTCTTCCATCCGGTGTGATACCGGCGGTACAATTCGGCAAATTTTCTGACACGTTAATTGTCCGTTGGGACGCAAGATAGCTCGCTCCATTTGTCGCAACGTTTCCTCGGATTGTTGCTGGTACACAGTTTCGTCCATGAACAGGGCTAAGAAGAGAGAATGTAAGGACAAAAAGCACAAGAACAGGGTAATCGCCACACAAACGACAACAGGAGCCCTGTTTCGTTGGAGCCGAAAATTTCGGAGGAGCATTGGAGATGCTTAGTTGGTGTCGCTCGAAGTCATCAGCTGTACCTTGAGTGTGGTGATCTCAGAGCAACGCCACCGACATTTATTGCTAGCATGTTTTGAGTAACGTGTAAGTGTGCGCAGGGGATGCATTTAATGAGTAATGAGCCAATGGTGGTGTAAGCACGTTCGCGAATCACAGCGAAGATAGGTGCGCGTCCAATGTTTTTGAACAATTGTGACCCAATAAGCGAGAATGTGCTTGGTGTGTCGGTGCTGTGAGCAATGAGTGTGAGCAAGCAAGCGATCCGGGGCAGTAGACATTCAAGAGAGCTCTGTTGCACACAGTGATTCACGGTGAACTATGTTGTACAAGTTCTCAACACTCGCCAGTCTTTCCTATCAACTGGGAACAGTCCATGGAGCAGAAGAAGCGGGTAATTTGGTAAAATCGCTACACCGAAGGTAGAATGGATACTTACGTCTACGAATATGCCCCATGCTAAGCCTGATGTTGCATTATTGATGCTTCTTCACCACAGCTGAGTTAAACCAACTTACACTTAAACTAAGTCTTTTTAAGCTGTATAAATTGCATTCCACTTTATTTGGGTTGTTCCGCCTACCTGAATAATGTTCTATTAACTGGACACGTTGCTTACGCTAATTGCGCTTAGCTTGGGTAACATTGTTGCGGTTGTGGCACTTCTAACTTGTAGACATTTCTTACTCATCGCGCATTCGTTGCTAACCAACTTATTTCATGCGATACTTTAGCGAAGAGTTATGCCACCCTACCTGTTTGCATTAATCGATTTATTTTATTCCATCTTGTCGTTTCAAATGATTGGCTGTTGCTTGATATCCCCGGTATGGCTGCGCTTGATGTGCATGTTGACAAGGTGCCCACCTGACTATTACCCACTACATCGTCCATTTGGCTCCAGGAGATAGTTGGTCGTTGCTGGAGGGTACGGGGTGCACGTTCCTTGTGGTCATGCTAGGCTCAAAGAGCGGTTCCATGCACTCAGTGTGGAGCGGACTACGGTCCAGCCATCGTCTTGTGTGTACTTGCTTCCCCAAATACAGCGTGCTTGTGTTGGCCTGTGAAGCAGTGTGTGCCGGCTCCGTTGATGAAAAGTGGCTCCTATCCACATGCCTCCCGGTCTTATTCCTTCGGGTTTACACTGGATATGGGGTGTGTGGTTGGAGCTGTGGGTGGTGCAGCGCAAGCCAACCATGGTCCCTCTCTATGCGCAGGCGTCCTGTGGGTGGCCACAGTGACAGGCAAATCTGAATCCGGATGTCGCCAACCATGTTACGAAAAAGGAGAGAAGGAACATGTGCAAGCTAAAAGTCGCTTATAAAGGGAATCATCGTAATATTTTCAACACATCCTGAATGAAGCAACAATATCTTACCGTCCGCGAAATTTTGGATCAGAGAACGTATCTCCGAAACAAAAAGGAATGGGGGTGCAAATAAATCAGAAGGATCCGACATATATGGCAGTGCAATCCGTGTAAGAGGCTTACGATCGGGAATGAAGAAATCAACGAGGGAAAAATGCACTCACGGCGAAGGATCTTCGAGGCGAGGCGCCACTCTACTGATTGTGCCCCAATTAATCGGGCGCCCGATCTCGTTGTAGAGACGTGTGATAATCTTCCGGAATGGTTGGATGTTGTGAACCCATTCAATTAAACCTCATTTTTCGCTTAGGGGGATGACGGCCTAGAAGTATTGGAGTACAAACAAAAGAGTAGTAGGCTCATAGAACGGTCCACAAACATAGCGACTTACTATATGAACAGAGCAGAATATGAGTGGCCGGACTGGACCAAGCAATAAGACATCTGCATGTTTAACGCACAAAGACAGAGCTTCCATAAGTGGGTATCTGCAGTGTACGTCGTCTTGTATCTGCATTCTTCACTAAAAATGTATTAATCATATCATTCAACTCCATCGGACGTTAATCCTTGCGGCCATCGTCCTGAGAAAAGTAAAGAGAACAAGAACACAATCGTCCAGAGCAACATGGAATGTTTGAATTGTCTGTTTAAAATTACAGGTGGACTGTGAAGCATAGAATAGATGACAAGCAGAACATAGATGATACTATTAAAAATGTTAGAAGTATTCGACTAGTAAGTTAGCTAATACTAGTATGGCAGCAAAACATCGAGAATGTAATGGACATCAGGATAGATGGACGCATCCAATACTAGACTGACGGTCAGAATGCCAAACTTGATCATAATTGGAATAGACAGATGGACGATCAAAAATTGCTCAGACGCAGCAGTAAAGAAGCCAAGGTGGCCTCGGAAAGAGCAATTGTGCATTGCACCATGTCTGTCAATTAACTCAAGCGGACGTCATAGGAGATATGTTCGGAATAAATTAGTGGAAGTAAGCTGCAACTGAAAAGTAATTAAATTTCCCGCATAAAATAAATGGCCATACTGTTTGCTTTAAGTCTTGTAGGGCTAATAGACACAAGGGAGCACGCGAATTCTATGGGTAAAACTATCAGAAGAAAATGCGTCCCATAATGCACATACGTTAGGCTTCGCCACGATGATGTAACTCCGGCCAGTTGATCCCACCCAACTCATTTTCTTCGGTCGAGTTTGAGAACCCAAACTTTTCACAGTGTACTTTGTACGTGTCAGGCAGACAAGTTGGTGAGCTCCAGAACCAATGGGCCAATGGCGCTGCATGTCCTCGTACCGGCATTGAACAGAAAACAAGTTGGACACCAACAGGCGATGAATGGGGATAAGAATGCGCGAGAAATCGTTGGTGGGTGAGACAGTAGTGAAACAAAATGAAATCGCTCATTACGACCAAAGCCAAGGAAAATAGGTAGTCAAAGTAGGGCAAGAGGAATAATAGCGCATGTTGTTGGGGCCGATAACTCGATAAACAAATACAGACACTGTAAGTGGAGCAGAATTGAATTATCATGTCCCAACGGTGAACCGACTAGAGATATTACTTCTGAAGTGCTCACGGAATAAGCATGCATATCATAAAAATGTCCCACGACTTGTGACTACCGGGACCAGCGAGTGGAGGGAGTAACTAAGGTCGTTGGAAAAATGGGAGCACTGACCTGCTTGCAATCGAGCGGGTCAGGGGACGCTGAGATTGTCGTAGACTGAAGCCGCGCATACCTCGTTTGTCAGTACTCATAAACAGACCACAAATAATTCAGAGATGGTTGCACAAAGCAGTGAAGTCCTCTAATTGGGAAACGTATAAAAGTGAAGATCAGCTTGATGCAATGAAAAGACGCGACGGCTAGCGGCAGAGTTAAGGGATATACATGTTGCTTTAACTTGTGAACAAGAACAAGCGACCTTTGATAGTGAAAACAAGTGAAAAACAATGGGCTAAACTTATGTTTCGACAGCACATGAACACCGAGGACCGTGTGCTTTCGTATAGAGCAAGTAAAAACAAAAGTATTTGCGAAAATCTCACTGCGATAAACTTTGACAAATATAGCTGCTTTGTTCTACAAAGGTGGGATGACAGTAGGGGAAGTTGAGCAAGAGAATGAGATGAAATATCAGGATGACGGACGCCAAATGAAACTGTCACTCGGTGATATTTAAGCCCTGTCTAGCAAAGTAATTCAATCAATCAATATGCAACGTTCATACACGGATTCGTGCGAGGTACGTCTGCGTTGGTATACGCAACCATTCGAAGCGCATTTAACATATTGATCACAGGCCAATGGGAAATATGCAAAAACTGTTGGGAAAAACCAAACAAGTTATGCAGCAAAACCTAAAAAAGTATTTGCGAAGGTTATGTCTAATGTGGCCCATAACCTCTTAGCTTTAAACGTGTCCATGGATTGTGAAGGAAGTCTTGCAACAATCGGAAGCTGATAGTTGGCGGTCGGGGGAACCAACTGATACCCTTTAAGCAGTTCATCGGATCAATATATTCTTGTTTTGTAGAGAACCGTCCAGGGGTAACTCGGGTAGGGTGAATGTTTCGATTACAGTTGTTAGGATGAATGAAGCTATAAGGGCTAATTTAACTCGAAGACACTAGCGAAGCACGTTGTGGATACGTCCCGCTTCCGTAGGATTGGGGTTTTTATAGTTTTGCCTACTAACTCTAACTGACAAATTCCTTGGCTCTGACACCTGTAACAAAAATAAAGTCGCAACTGTTGTTGGTATGTCGCAAAGTCCTCGGCAGAATTCTCTATGACAGTTTCAGTAAGGTGTTTTATTACTGGGTCGGTTCTCTGTTTGATTAAACAGACGGCACCGAATTTAGTTGGAAAAATTTCCTAATAGTACAAAGGGCTATACCGGTGGGTGCAGGCCAATCACTTTTGCAGCCAAAGGGTTCCGCCGATGTATGCATCGTTTTGAGGTTGATGGATGTTGTGCTTAACCGCACGATTTGTGAAAATATCAAATTTAATAGTTTCGCATATTTGAATTGAAGGAAAATTGAACTGTGGACCTCCAGTCAAAGGTAGCGGCCTTTCATGTGGGTCTTGTACAGTAAATGGCCGATGAATTATTGCGACCGAAATTGAATGACCTGACTGAGACACATGAGGGTCGTTTCACTACAGTGTGATCTTAGTCTGGTGAACCTGAGCAGAGTCCACAAAAGAACCAAACCAGCTGCTATGTGCTGTTCGAGATCGGAGTGCAATGTAAATGGGCCAAGTGACTGACCCAGGCGTGTCTAACACGACAGTGAATACACAAAACTATCGTTAGCCCAAGGTGAGCTGAGGCACGGTATGCTGATTGCATAATATAGGACGGCACACATTAATATTGTCTCTGTGTGCACTAAGAGTGGAATGAAGTAGAAGTATTTTGGGCCGTCCTGTTATCAAACAGTTACCAATAAAATTTTCGGTGGCTAATCGAAGTATCGATTCGCTATCACCCCGAGTTGACAAGATAAAAAGACCAAATCTTCAACATGAAGGAATCTGAAGTATTTAGCCGAACCGCTGAGGTCAGGCATCA